TCAAAAATACAATGCAGTTTTACCATACAAGTGATAGGGAAATATAGAACTCAAAAAGATTTGTCCTGTGGTTATAGTGGTAATGCTAATTATATTTAAACAAAATTTTGTTTGTCAAATCAGCAAAAATAAGAGAATAAATCTCAGCTACAAAGGCAGACAGTACCTTTCATTTGCTGATATTTATTGCCAAAATTTTAAAGTTGTTTTTGTCATTTTTGAGACTCTGGTGCAACTTCTTCAAGACGTGACTCTTTGCATATACGCTCTAACTTGATTTATTTTGTTGCAATGCTTTTTTGTGCTTTGAAGGTTTGCTTTGATACATTATTTCATGTTTCCCTTGTAAATTTGTGATTCAGCTCTGCACCTGAGGGCCACCATAAATAACTCAAGCTGAACCAAAAAAAAAAAAAAAAAACATCACAATATCAAGACAGACTACTATTACTTGTGTACAAAACCGCATCAACGTGTTTCAAGTCTTTTTCTTGTGACTGCGAGCCATATGACAGCATTTTGCAGCTAAAACGCTTTATGCTGTTATTTTTGTGTGGCTTGTCACAATATTCACTCTGTAGAATGCCCTTAACGTCAGCACTCACACATTTCTGTCATCCGCAGCTGTTAACAAGATTCAAGAATAACAACAGCCTTAAGGTGTTTATGCTGTAGTGTCTTCAATTATCAGGAGAGCTACCTGCCAGGTTGTGTCTAATTCCTTGCAAGGCAAGAGTCTACACTAACAAGTGCGCTTATTCCTGTCAGCTGTTTCTCTGCCCAGAGGAAAGCGCAAACTTAGTTTCACCTGTACCTTGCTAATAGGCTTTATTTATTTGACATTTATTTAACTTGGGTTGGCATGTTCCCAACTTTTCCATTAAATAGTTTGTTTTCAATTCACAATTTTCAGTCATTTTAGTCTTCATTCCTTTTGCGTGGCTTTTTTGTGAGCTTCTTTTCTCTTTCTTTTAATGTCACAAAATATCATTTTATGTGAATCAAGTGAGTTAATCTTATTTTTTTTTTTGGCTGTTTGGCATTCAGTTTTTTTTGTATTGAACATTCACTGTCCTCATCCTACCTAACCCTTTTCAAATAATTGTCTTTACTGCATTGTCGATGACATTTCAATCACTGTTTTAAGTATGTACAGCAGTTATTGTATGCATCAAGTTGAGATCTTGAACAAATTTATTATTTTTATCCGATCAAGTTGATCATTTTGTGAAAGAAAAACATTTGCAATGATGAGAATTAATTTACTAATAGGTAGAATGGAAGAACAGAATATGTGGTTCATCATTGACACTGCAAACATTCTGAAC